GCTGGGCGAAGCCGTCCGCCGCGATGGTGAAGCGTCCGTCCGTGCCGTAGATCTGGCGGCGGGGACGGCGGCGGGGTGGACGCGGGGCCGGGCCGCGGGTGTCGAGGCCGTCGATGGCCACTGGGTGAGCGTGCGGGTGCCGTTGTCGTAGACCTGCGGGGAGGGAGGGGAGGAGGGGGGGGGTGAGCGAGTTCCATTCGCGCTCACGGTGGCTACCAACCACCCGACACGGTCCGTGTTGAGTCACTTCAGTTCTCTGTTTAACCGTGAGTGTGGTCTGTGTGTGGTTGTGTGGCTGTGTGTGGCTGTGTGTGTGGCTGTGTGTGTGGCTGTGTGTGTGTGGTGTGTGTGTGTCTGTGTGTGTGTGTCTGTGTGTGTGGCTGTGTGTGTGTCTGTGTGTGTGGCTGTGTGTGGCTGTGTGTGTGTGGCTGTGTGTGTCTGTATGTGTGGCTGTGTGTGTGTGAGTGTGTGTGGCTGTGTGTGGCTGTGTGTGTGTGAGTATGTGTGTCTGTGTGTGTGTCTGTGTGTGTCTGTGTGTGTGGCTGTGTCTGTGTGTGTGTCTGTGGTGTCTGTGTGGCTGTGTGTCTGTGTGGCTGTGTGTGTGGATGTGTGTGTGTCTGTGTGTGTGTCTGTGTGTCTGTGTGTGTGTCTGTGTGTGTGGCTGTCTGTTTGTGTGTCTGTGTGTGTTGTGTAGCGGTTAGCGCTACGCTGCGCTATGAACCCGACGACACGGGTTCGATTCTTGCTCACGGCCAACACGATTATCTGAACCGGTCCTGGGCCTCCCCTAGGTCGACTCAGCCCCAAATGCGTACCTGATTCGGTGTGTAAACATCGCCACTGGGGGAGACAAAGGCGGCCGGGCGTGGTGCTGGCCACCCACCCCCTCGTGTACCGTTCTGGCCTTCATAGGTGCTCGGCACACGAGGGGGTGGGTGGCCAGCACTACGCCCGGCCGCCTTTGTCTCCCCAGTGGCACAATGTTTACACACCGCACCGGGTACTCATTCGAGGCTGAGTCGACCTAGGGGAGGCCCAGCACCGGTTCAGATAATCGTCACCGATATTGGCCGTGAGCGGGGAAACGAACCCGGGGTCGCCAGGTGTCGCAGCGCTAACCGCTACACTGACACTCACACACTCACTCACGATCGTACCCACCCACCGTCTCGTACGACAACTGCTCTTGCAGCTGCTGCAGAAAGTCGACATCCACAGCGCCACCACCGTCACCACCGGCGGGCCCGGCGGGGTGTTGCTGCCACCAGGGCGAGGGGGGGCGGCACGCCAGGGAGGCCACGGGGCCGCAGGCGGCACGCGGCGTGGCTGGAGCTCCGAAGTCCGACGGATCAAGCGGCACGACCCGCAGGTCTCGCACCAGCGGAACGCGCGTCTTGTGCCAGAAGATATCGGCGCGGCTCGGGGTGGGGCACACCCAGAGGGCGACGAGGAGAACGAGAAGCAGCGGCAGTAGGCGATGGTGATGGTGGTGATGGTGGTGATGTGGCGTGTCTCGTCTTTGTTGTGCCGGAGCGCGTCCGTGGCTGTCACGAGGCTCCATCGTGGCGCTGCGTGAGTGAGACGCAGATACGCAGGGGCGGACACGCAAGGTGTTGGACGGAGTTGTTCTGGTAAAAGAAATTGGGGGATGATGATGATGATAGGCGTAATTAGCGTTGAAAGGTCGTGTTCAAGTGGATGTTGTGGGTTTGCTCTCCGACGCACCGGTGGGCTGAAGTATACTACACTATACACTACACACATTATACACTACTCTATACACTACACTATACACATTATACACTACACTACATACACTATACACTATACATACATTATACACTACATTATACACTACACTATACACTACACTATACACTACCCCATGCACTACACTAAACACTACACTATACACTACACTATACACTGCACTATACACTATACACTACACTATACACTACACTATACACTACACTATACACTACACACTACACTATACATGACACTATACACTACACTTTACACTACACTATACACTACACTATACACTACACTAGTATCTAATTGTCGCGATGTTTACGTGACACACCTTACTGGCTGTATCGGGCGGTGGAGGGTTACGACGCAACATTTACACTTACACCGTCAAACCCACAAACCTTTATTACGAATAACATTGCTCGCGAAAAGCCTACGTGTCAAACGAAGCGATTCAACTCAACTATCGAACAGTTTTTTGTATTCATATTCTTAGGTTTTTCGGTAAAGTCAGGTATGTAAAACAATCAAATTAATAAAAGTAAAATAAAAAGAAATAAAAATCACGACGTTTCGGAGGCAACACAAACTTCGGTCTTCAGGTGGAACCGTCACAGCACGATTGCTGTATCAAGTGAGATAAATTACAAGAAATCAGTCCTTGTATATATACTGGTTTTCTTGGAATCTCTCTTACTTGAAACAGCAATCGTGCTGTGACGGTTCCACCTGAAGACGGAAGCTTGTGTTGCCTCCGAAACGTCGTGATTTTTATTTTATTTTACTTTTATTAATTTTAATTTTTTACCTACGTGACTTTACCGAAAAAAACCTAAGAATATGAATCCTTGCAGTCACGAAAGCTTCAAATCTAGTTTTTCGTGTTTTATTTCACCAGGCTAGCTAAGGCACACTGAGCTGCATTGAAGCCCGTGTTTTCTAAGCCACCCGGTCATCACACGTGGCAGCCCGACAAAGCGACTGCTATCATCGTCATCGTCATGGCGTGGACATTTATTGCAGCCCCCAAATAACCTTGAACCGCGTGACGTTGATTCTAAATGTGGAGGGGGAAAAACCGGAGGACCCGAAGATAAATGCACGCGACCACCACGGGGAGGTGCAACATGCAAACTCAACATGTGCAGGTCCCGCATAGATACCCATGATCCCGCATAGAGAAACCATGGTTCTACATAGAGACACGTGGTCCCAAATAGAGACACGTGGTGCCAAATAGAGACACGTGGTCCCACATAGAGACCCATGGTGCCACATAGAAACCCACGGTCCCGCAATGTGTACAGTGTGGAAGCTACCCGCATGCCAAATTTCAAGTTTTATTGCATGTCGGGAAGTATGCTAAACATTTCGAACAGACACACACATTCACACATTTCCATTGTATATCTATATAGACAACAATCTTTGGCTCGATTGTCTGGCGGTTGTGTGGCATCTTGAGTCTGGGTCGCTGTCTCACATGGGTGGTGCACTGCTCGCTGTGAGAAGCTTGCGAGTTGTGAGCTTGTGGGATGGAGTTGCGTGGAACATTCCGCGAACGTTGAAACAGAATCTTGGGGCATCACAACCAATGTGCCATCGCTGCCTTCCTCCTGCTGTGCCCTGCAACTTTGTCTGACATTCCCAGTCTCATCATCGCTACCATCATCATCACCATCATCACCATTATCATCGCTACCATCATCATCACCACCATCATCATCACCATCACTACCATCACCATCACCACCACCACCATCATTATCATAACCACCCATCCTCCTCCTACTCCCTACACACCACGCGTCCCACCCATCACCACCACATCCTCCTCCTCCCTCCCTACACACCACTCGTCCCACCATCACCACCCCATCCTCCTCCTGCTCCCTGCACACCACTCGTCCCACCCATCACCACTCCTCCTCCCCCTACACACCACTCGTCCCACCCATCACCACCCATCCTCCTCTCCTCGCACACCACTCGTCCCACCTATCACCACTCCCCCTCCTCCCCCTACACACCACTCGTCCCACCCATCACTACCCCACCCTCCTCCTCCTCCCTGCACACCACGCGTCCCACCCATCACCACCCCATCCTCCTCCTCCAGGTGACCTGGTCTTCACCTGAGGACGGCTGCTTGCGTTGTGGCCGAAACGTCGTGAGAATTATTTTATTATGTTTTATTTTTATTATTGTTATTTCCCTTCTACGTGACTTTACCGAAAGAACCAAGAAGATGAATCCCTGCAGTCACGAAAGCTTTAAATCGAAAAATTCGTGGGTTTGTTTTTCCATCAAATTCAGCCACGGCGAGTTTGTTTTTTTGAGGGCTGGTGGGGCTCTCCTTACTCGCCCACTCCCCCCCACCACCACCCTCCCACCTCTCTCGTGTTCAAGGTCTTCACCTGCTACATCGGTTGTTGTTGGGGAGGCGGGAGGAGGGACATTCCACGTTGCTGTGGACGAGCACGGCTGTCGGGAGTTGATCCCTTGGAGGTTGCAGGGCGCATTCCATTCCGAGTTTACAAAATAAAAATGTATACTGCGCAGTAAACACCTCGATATGCCTACATTCGACAAAACTTTGTTTAGGTATCTCGATTTAAAGCTTTCGTGACTGCAGGGATTCATCTTCTTGGTACTTTCGGTAAAGTCACGTAGATGGGAGATAATAAAATAATAAAAATAAAACACAATAAAATAATTCTCACGACGTTTCGGCCACAACTCTCTTCCCCCTCCAACCCAGCTTAATATACGCTTCCAAGCCTGGTGGTGTTTCATTCAGACGCTGTCTTTCCGACAGACCTGTTCTTCACCTGAGGACGGCTGCTTGCGTTGTGGCCGAAACGTCGTGAGAATTATTTTATTATGTTTTATTTATTTATTATTTTCCCCTTCTACGTGACTTTACCGAAAGAACTAAGAAGATTTGTTTAGGTATTTAACGAACTTTGGATATATTGTACCATTATTGTACACAGTAAGGTAAAATCAATAAACACACTGAAATTAATCAAACTAAACTAGTTTATTTTACCAGGTAATGTCCCACTGAGCTGCCCATCACAAGTGATAGTCTCAAAGAAGTGGCTCATCGTGTGGACATGAATATCAGCCAATAACTCTGAACGCGTGGTGATGTGGATTCAAAATGCGGAGGGAAAAACCGGAGGACCCGGAGAAAAATCCACGCGACCACGGGGAGAGAGAGAGAGACACGCAAACTCCAAATATACAGCAGCAGGCGTTGGAGTCGGGTACGAACCCACGACATCCTGTGTACCAGGCGAGGTAATTAACATCTCACCACGGGGAGAGAGAGACACACACAAACTCCAAATGTACAGCAGCAGGCCTCAGGGTCGGGATCGAACCCACGCCCTCCTGTGTACCAGGTGAGGTAGTTAACATCTCACCACGGAGAGAGACACGCACACTACATATACACTACACTATACACTACACTATACACTACAATACACTACACTATACACTACACTATACACTACAAGACATACACTATACACTACACTATACACTACACTATACACTACACTATACACTACACTATACACTACAATACACTACACTATACACTACACTATACACTTCTATACACTACTCTATACACTACTCTATACACTACTATACACTACAATACACTACACTATACACTACACTATACACTACTATATACTACACTATATACTACTATACACTACACTATACACTTCTATACACTACACTATACACTACTATACACTACAATACACTACACTATACACTACATACACTACATACACTACACTATACACTACACTATACACTACACTACACTATACACTACTATACACTACACTATACACTACACTATACACTACACTATACACTACTATACACTAAACTACACTACACTATACACTATACACTACACTATACACTACACTATACACTACTATACACTACACTATACACTACACTATACACTACACTACACTACTATACACTACACTACACACTACACTATACACTACACTATACACTACACTACACACTAACTACACTATACACTACACTATACACTACTATACACTACACTTTACACTACACTATACACTACACTACACACTACACTATACACTACTACACTACACTATACACTACTATACACTGCACTATACACTACTATACACACTATACACTACTATACACTATACACTACACTATACACTACTATACACTACTATACACTACACTATACACAGACTCTCGCTCATCGTCCCACCGCGGGCAGCTGTGTCCTGGGCCTGCCCCGGGATCTTCCCCCAGTGTTACCTTGCTGCTGCTGCTGCTACAGTTCCAGGTAGAGTTACCAGTGGTGGTGGTGGTGGCAGCCTTACCTGGTGGACCGGACCACCTGAACTCGCTCCGGTGGCTCGACTCGGAGCCTGTCCCGGCTTACCGAGCTCCTCACGATCACGGAGAGTGAGCCCGGCAACCCTGTGGAGAATGGTCGTAAACAATAATGAGAATTTTTACTTATATCTATCGATAAAACAAGTATAACCCGTAAAAACAAAGTTTTTCACTATAAATCCTTTATATGCGTGGCGGCTAGAGTCCTCTCGTCCTCTGGCTTGAGATGGCTGCCACCTATGGGTCAGATGATTGCATTGCATAATTAAGCAATTGGTAATTAAATATAATATTTTTGTCCTAAAAAGTGTAAAATTTTGGAAACAAAATTTCACGAACATTCATTGTCACGCACAACGAGTCTGTGTGGAAATGTCAGCTCGATTGGATCACGAAAAGTGGGTTAAAAAACGACCGAAAGATTTGCACGGTCGTAAGCAAGCAAGCAAGCGAACTTAATATAAAGGATTTAAAAATGGAAATTTGTGAATGTGTGGTCTGCTCGAAATGTTTAACCATACTTCCCGACATGCAAGAAACTTGAAATTTGGCATGTGGGTAGCTTCCAGACTGTACACAATGCAAAAAGTATAAAAATTCACTTTTGTATTTTGGGAAGGGGGGGGGGGGGCTCAACAATGGATATTTTGCACGGCAAGTGAGCGGTGACGTCACATCTGTGATGTCACCCGCAGGCGGCAGCGTCACGCAGTGTGCCTGCTGACGTCACGCAGTGTGCCTGCTGACGTCACGCAGTGTGCCTGCTGACGTCGGACGGACCCCCCCCCCCCCCCCACCCTTTGATGTATTCATACAAGACAAGACCAAGGTTCTCTGCAAACCTCCTGGCTACCATCAAAGGTTTGTACACGAAGCCATCCAAATATACAAACACAGACATAATTTCAACCGTGATGAGGGTTACAAACTGAGTAATCATTGGAAAGATGTGATTAACCATGCAAAAAAGATTTAACTACACTTATTTAGCCAATCTTATTTGACAGACAACTATTACAGGTTATTGATAGACAGCCAGGCTTGTTTCTTTTTTCACACTATTGTTATGTAGGCCAGGCTTAGTCACAAACCGTACCTCTCCATAACAAAGGCTCACCCTCTTAAGCCTCACCTTACCATATTAATAAAAGTGTGCCGTACTTGGCCCTTACCCCCCTCTCCAACCATTATATAAACGGAGTGGTAGCTCTTGTAATCTCTCATTTACTTGATACAAATGTCGTGGCTGTGACGGTTCCACCTGAAGACGGAAGCTTGTGTTGCCTCCGAAACGTCGTGAATTTTATTTTATTTACTTTTATTAATTTTAATGTTTTACCTACGTGACTTTACCGAAAAAACCTAAGAATATGAATAAGAATCCAAGTCCCGGGCGAAGCCGGGTAGTATAAAGCGAGTAGAAATTAAGTTTATCTGCGTATGGAACGATCGTACAATTCAGATTTATACTCGCTAAAAAGTCAAAGTATATCAAGACTCAAACAAGCGTGAGATGTTGCCCGTCTCTGTCTGGTGGCCCGATGAGGAAGTGGTGGAAATTCCACATTCCCATGGCGGGTCTCTTAAGAGAGGAAAAGCGTCATTAGCGAGCGCAGAATGCGTGCGAGGTTAATTGCGCTGAAGCACCCGTCAACAACACCACGCGTCGCGATGTTCAGGCTGAGTCGACCTAGGGGAGACCCACCACCAATTGCCACCGCTCAATATTCGACAGCCACTTTAACCACTGCCTGCTGTCTTCTTGGTTCTTTCGGTAAAGTCACGTAGAAGGGAAATAATAAAATAAAAAATAAAACATAATAAAATAATTCTCACGACGTTTCGGCCACAACGCAAGCAGCCGTCTTCAGGTGGAGAACAGGTCTGTCGGGAAGACAGAGTCTGTTTCATTTTATTATTTTATTATTTTCCTTCTGCGTTCGTCAACGTCAAAAATAACATACGATAGGCGACGTTTCGGCCAATGGGCCTTCTTCATAACACACATTAAAAGTCGGGACATTTGCAATTCAATCATCTGCACCCCCCCCCCCCCCCTAATTTGAGCTGAATGGTACGACCCGGCACGACATCCACCACCCACCCTGAATCCAGAGGGGTACGATGAGCAAAGTGGACTGATCCATACTCTTAGTTCTTTCGGTAAAGTCACCATGTAGGTAAAAAAATTAATAAAAATTTATAAAAAATTAAATAAAATCACGACGTTTCGGAGGCAACACAAGTCTCCGTCATCAGGTGGGACCGTCACAGCCACTTGATGCAGCAAATCTGGCTGTGATGGTTCCACCTGATGACGGAGACTTGTGTTGCCTCCGAAACGTCGTGAGTTTTTATTTTATTTGTATTAAATTTTAATTCATTTTTTTACCCACGTGACTTTACCGAAAGAACTAGAGTATATGAATCCTTGCAGTCACGAAAGCTTCAAATCTAGAAATGGACTGATCCACTCACAAACGGGTATGACTCAGCAACGGTGATGGCAATAACGCGGCTGTGGGAACACTGCAAATCGTAGCAGCCCCCACACCCACCCCCCACACACCCACCCACACACCCCCTGTGACCGCGTGTCCCATTGGAATATCCCAAACTCCATGCAGAACAAAGGGGGAGGTTAAATCGTGGCGCCTGGGAATGGTGTGAGACCGGGGGTGGGATGGGTTGGTGGTGGGGGGGGACGTCTTTGTGGAGGAGGGCGGTTTTTCGTCTCTTGGGTTCACACGGACTGAACCGTGAAGTTCAACAGATGCCTAAGCCTCCGACGAATGTGTTTATACCAGTGCAGGCCTGCACCGTGCAGCCATTGGCAGCAGCAGCAGCATCAGCAGAATCAGCAGCAGCAGCATCAGCAGCAGCATCATCAGCAGCAGCATCATCAGCAGCAGCATCATCATCAGCAGCAGCATCAGCAGCAGTAGCAGCATCAGCAGCAGCATCATCAGCAGCATCAGCAGTAGCAGCAGCAGCATCAGCATCAGCAGCAGCAGCTGAATCATCATCAGCAGCATCAGCAGCAGCAGAATCATCATCAGCAGCATCATCAGCAGCATCATCATCATCAGCAGCAGCATCATCAGCGGCAGCAGCATCAGCAGCAGCATCATCAGCAGCATCATCATCATCAGCAGCAGAATCAGCAGCTGCAGCAGCAGCATCAGCAGCAGCATCATCATCAGCAGCATCAGCAGCAGCATCATCAGCAGCATCATCATCAGCAGCAGCAGCAGCATCATCATCAGCGGCTGCAGCATCATCAGCAGCATCAGCAGCAGAATCAGCAGCAGCAGCATCATCAGCAGCAGCATCAGCAGCAGCATCAGCAGCAGTAGCAGCAGCAGCAGCAGAATCAGCAGCAGCATCATCATCAGCAGCAGCAGCATCAGCATCATCATTAGCAGCAGCATCAGCAGCAGCAGCATCATCAGCAGCAGCATCATCATCATCAGCAGCAGCATCAGCAGCAGCATCATCAGCAGCAGCAGCAGCAGCATCATCAGCAGCAGCAGAATCAGAAGCAGCATCATCAGCAGCAGCATCATCATCAGCAACATCAGCAGCAGCATCATCAGCAGCAGCAGCATCATCAGCAGCATCATCATCAGCATCAGCAGCAGCAACATCATCAGCATCATCAGCAGCAGCATCATCAGCAGCATCATCATCATCATCAGCAGCATCATCAGCAGCATCATCATCAGCATCATCATCAGCAGCATCAGCAGCACCAGCATCATCAGCAGCAGCATCAGCAGCAGCAACATCATCAGCAGCATCAGCAGCATCAGCAGCAGAATCATCATCAGCAGCATCATCATCAGCAGCAGCAGCATCATCATCAGCAGCAGCAGCAGCAGCAGCACCAGCATCATCAGCAGCAGCATCAGCACCAGCATCATCAGCAGTCATCAGCGGCAGAATCATCAGCAGCAGCAACCCATCGTCAACCCAATCCTAGATGGGGTTTTTTTGTTCGTTTAAGTTACAATTGATAAGCTCACACGGTGCCCAACGCACCCCCCCCCGCCAAACACACCAAGCGGTCAGCAACAAGCAGCGCTGTTGAAGGTGTGATGGATTGGGGTGTCACACGTTTGATTAAGTTGAGCAAAGTTGATCATTGGTTTTTTTACCCTTTTATCTGGCAACAAAACTGACACCTTTTTTACGAGGAGTCATGTTTGCATAGACCGCAATACCTGTAGCCATAATGCAAACAAAAACATAACTCTGATAATGTATGCACTGTCCTTGAAGTTGATTGGTCCACACCCGAGACAGCTTTCCTTAGAGCCTAGTCTCACATGGTGTTGGACCAGATGACGCCAAAAGTCGCACTACTAAAAAAAGGTGTCAGTTTTGTTGCCAGATAAAAGGGTAAAAAACCAATTATCATATTTTTTACTGGCAAATGAGGTACCGATGGGGTTGAGCAAAGTTGTTGTAAGAACTTGGGGAACGGGACGACGAGACGATGTTGGTGGTGGTGGGAGTAGAAGCATTGCAAAGTGGAGCGGTGTCAGGGACTAAGCAGTAAGAGGAGCGAGCTGCAGTGTGGTGAGTGGGGCTGAGCGGTTCAATGAGTGCGTGGGAATGGGGTGAGCGAGTGAGTCAGTGAGATGGTGCGTGAGTGGGGGGTTAGGGGGTGAATGGGCGATTGAGTGGGTGGGTGGGTGAATGAGTGCGCGAACGATTGGGCGAGCGGGGTAGGTGAGTGAATGAGTGACCGGGTGAGTGAGTGGGCGTGTGAATGAGTGAGCGAACGATTGGGCGAGCGGGGTGGGTGAGTGAATGAGTGACTGGGTGAGTGGGTGGGCGAGTGAATGAGTGAGCGAACGATTGGGTGAGCGGGGTGGGTGAGTGAATGAGTGACTGGGTGAGTGGTGGGCGAGTGAATGAGTGCGCGAACGATTGGGTGAGCGGGGTGGGTGAGTGAATGAGTGACTGGGTGAGTGAGTGGGCGAGTGAATGAGTGAGCGAACGATTGGGCGAGCGGGATAGGTGAGTGAATGAGTGACTGGGTG